TATATATATATATGAATTAGGATAGATATACAGCTACTTTTTCTTAGTTCATTGAGAATAGAAATTTGTACTAATATTGTTTAGACAAGATATCATGTCTTTGTCTTGTCCTCTGAATAGTTTTCTATGAAGACAACAATATGCAATGTATTAACTGTCCTACTAACCTGTTTTGAAACTGCTTCATTGCTGTTTTATCTTTTTTCTCATTAAAATGAATTAAAAATAAAAATAAAATTGTTTTCTAAGGAAGAGAAAAAAATAAAATAAAAAATAAAAACATTCACCATCACTGACCATTAGATAAATTCATATGAAAACTGCAACAGTGTTATCACCTTACACCTTGTAGCATGATGAATGTAAAAAAAAAAAACAACAACAACAGAGATAACATCTCTTGGAGAGCATATGAAGAGAGGAAAGTCCCTGCACAATGTTAGCAGGAATACAAAGTAGAATAGCTCCTGTACAAATCAATGTGGAGCTGCCTCTAAAAGACAATAAAACTCCAGGTGCCATACAACCCAGGATTCCACTTCTGGCTATAGATCTGAAGGAAATGCAATCAGCCCGTGAAGAGACACTTGCGATCCCAAGTTCAGAGCTAAGTTTTCACAAGAATCCATAGAGGAGCTGCTAAGCATCCATCCCCAGGAAATAATTTGGATAAGGAAAGCTAACTCTCACCCTCTTAAGCCTGTTTATGTGCATAAATGATAAATATACAAATATACAAGCACATGTGTGATATAAATTACATAAATGCAAAGAAATAACACATTTATAGAATGTCTAAAAGAAGAGGTGCTTCCTAAGCTTTATAAGGGCCAAATTAATTCACTATGTGGAGGAAATAATCTTTAGAGATTTGCAACAGCTTGCTACACATTGAGGTAGAAGGTACAAGAACTCTCAGAAAGAATGAGGTATGAGGCTCTTCAACTGAGAAAAGCCTCACAATCCTTCTTCTTGCCTTTAAAAAGGTGGTGTAAAAGAATGTGCAGTAGAAAGCCATGCTCTTGTGTGAGTGAGACCATTTGCAATGGTGTCACGGCATGTCATAGATCAATTTGTTCACTTGACTGCGTCATCTGAGCTTAAGCAGACCACTGAGTTGCTGAAACTTCTACTTAAGATAGCAGCTGCATTAATTAAATGTGTTGAATTATTCCACACAATATTGAAAAGTTCAACATCAGTTTGGCTAGTGCAACAAATATACCCAACAATAATATGTCAAATTATAATTTAATATTTTTAAATATAGAAATACAGGAAAGGCTATTAAGGTTTAATAAGAAACTGACATATGTGACCACATACTCTAAAATAAAATGTAAATTAGAGTCATTAAAATTAGAGCTCTTGTGTCTCTGATATTTGTCCCTCATCTGCACAATAAAGGGCACCCAAGAGCAACGCCAAAGTCCCCATTTTCTGCCCCATGTCCAGTCAGAGCTTGCACTGAGGACGCAGCTCTGCATCCCTAAGCAACTGTTCCTGCCTGCACTGGTGCAATAACAAAAAATTGCAACTTACCTTCATACGACTTCTTTTTAATGTACTTTGAAGCCTACACAAGAGAGATTATGTATCTGGACTGAGAAACTATCAGGCAGTACAAGTACAATAAAGTTAATGCCTTAACTCTAACACCAAACTCCACCCACTGAAAGTTCAAATGCTTGAAATGACTTCATTGAAAATTTTGTTTCACTATCCTGAGTTATTTGTATTTATCTTAGTGATGCTAATGGAGGCTATAAAATAGAAACAATTTGATGTCCAGGCTCTACTATGACCCTGCTTCCCATATGGCTTTCAGCAAGAGATGAGAGCTGAGCAGAGGCTGCCAGCTTCTCCCCCACTCAATTCTTGCTTTTCTTTGTACCCAGAGCTTGCAGTGTGAATTTCCCTCTGCATTCCACTGCTCTAGCTCAAGCTACATCATTTCTACCAGAAAAGATTTATTTTCAGTACTAGCATTGAAAACAAGGAACTTCATAATGAGACACATCCCCAGACTGTGTGGTTGATGTTGATTTTTTGTTGATGTTTTTGCCAAGGGTGTCCATAAGTAGCTAAGTTGTTGGGGTTGGGCTCCCACTTCACATCCTCCTGTCTTATCCTGTAAGAGGGCTTGGCTTACAGGCATGTGCCACAATGCCTGATAAAAGTAAACGTTGTAGAGAATCTTTCATATGACAATTACAATATAAGAAAAAAGTCAGCATTCAATTCTAATTTAACCAAGGTGCATTTAATCATTAAGCTACAGTAAAACATTATGTACCCAAGTAAGTTAATGATCTCTTGAATAGTGAAGATGGTCAAAATTCCACAAATTTAATAAGTGAACTTCGGGTATGCATTTGCTATCACTTTTTTTAAAATTTATTTATTTTATTTGTGTGTGTGTGTGTGTGTGTGTGTGTGTGTGTGTGTGTGTGTGTGTCTGTGGCCAGCTCAGCCCACCAGGGGACGGGGCTGGCTGGCATGTGGTGCTGGGGGATTGAACCGCGGTCCCTGTGCTTTGCTAAGCTTGTTCTAAGTAGGTGCTTTAGACCACTGAGCCATCTCACCAGCCCGCTATCACTTTTCAGCTGGCTACTTTAGATAAAAAATCACTGCCATGGGGATGAGGAAGAAAGGGAGCCACAGATCTTTAGGGAAATATACCCTGTCTTTGTATGTACACATGTGCTATTAGATGGCAAAACTAATATCAAGGAACATACATATGATCTCTGCGTCCTTGGAAACAAGAACCTAAAAGTCACCTAGTGTTAGTTGGCATTCCGTCAGGGTTACTGAACACTTGAACAGAGCAACCCAAAGGGCCAGGGTTTATCTTTGACCACATTTTCCAAGGTCACAGTCTCTGGTAGCTCACGTTGAGTTGCTTCTAAGCCTGTGGAAGTGGCCAGTGTCACTGCAGAGGAAGCAGGAGGAGCAGAGCTGCTCCTGCATGATGCCTTCACAGTGGGCTCCCTGCCACAATGTCTTAGTACCCAAGTTTCTGCCAACTCTTGACACACCAGCACCTGTGGACCAAGCCCAGTGGGAAATTGCAGGTCCAAGCACTGGCATTCCATCCCTGCTCTTTCACAGTGTGATATGCGTTTAGAGCAGTGCCAGGAGTTGTCAATAGTTTTAGAACTGTTCAAGGGACAAAGTCCAAAATCTCCTCTAAGCTGCAAGGTAACACTTAGCTGTGAATTTCTGTGAAAGTTAAAAAGCAACTTGCACACTTCCAACACCAAATGGTGTGACAGGCACAGGGCAAAGCAAGACCATTCTAAGAGGGAGAAATTGGACCGGTCACGGTGGCACATGCCTGCAATCCCAACATTCTGGGAGTCTGAGGGCAAGGTCATCAACTTAGTCAACTCACTCTGACTCAAGATTTTCCACAGGTAGAAATTTAGCAGCAACTACCATAGGTTAAAAAAAAAAGTCTTGGGATTTATCAAGGTAAAGATGCAGACAAGTGCCCCATTTTTCCATAAACAAAATATTTCAAAAGAGAAAAAAAATCCACCATTCTTCAATTCCTATTACTTTGTATAGTGAAATTCTGTATCTTTTTTAAAAAAACTATTTCTTATTCTCTTTAAAAGATAAAAAGTATGGGGCCAGAGAGATGGCTCTGTGGAATAAGCACTTTCCTGGTAAGCACAAGTTCAATCCCTGGTTTCATAAAAAAAATAAAAGAAAATAAAAGAAAAAGAAAAAATAAAAGAAAAAGCACTTCAACAAATATGGATCTGCTTTGGCCTTGCACTTGGTTATCTCTTTGTTAAATCAATATCAATTAAAATATCAATTCAATTATTTCAAGATCAATTAAAATATTTTAGTCTCTGTCCTGATTTTCTGTAGCAGGCGATTTGCAACACCATGGCCAGGTTTTCTCTGAATAGAAGATATTTTATTACATTCCCTTTGCTGATTGTTTTTGTGTCACCGTCTCTCTTTTCCCTTGAATTATATTTTGAAGGCAACAGTAATTTCTTGCCTTGCTGATGGCTGCATGATCTCCACAATCTCCCCACTGACCTGCAAGTTCCAATGAGTTTCCATGAACTCATTCATATTTTCCATTTCTCTTTTAACCTTTCTGTGTTTTGCTTGCTGTTCCAAGGTTTTTAAGGAACAGCCTATTGGATTCAAGTTCTGTACACATTCGTAGGTTTTAGTTGCTCAGTAGGCATTGGTTCCTTTCCTCTAACTACTCCATCCTTATGCCCTCAGGTGGCGTGACAGGCAAACCACTCTAGCTGATGAGCTGGCAGCTCATACCCATGTGGTCATGGTCCACCATGACAATAGCTTGTAAATACCAGCTATCGACAAGCTCTGCAGACAGCAGTATTAGTAACCAAGAAGAGCTTATATCTTTGTGGGTATCCACTCAGGGCAAGAAGATACATTTTACTCCAGCATATACTGTAATTGACAAGTGATACTATTCCTTATTTATATTTATTAGTGTTTGGTAATTTTCCATAGTGGTGGGATTTGTTTGGAGAAGGTGGTATATTCAAAGAACATACCTTAATCAATTATAATATCACCACCTTTCTTGCCTTCTTCCTGCTTCCTAAAGATTCCCTTCTTAGACTCCAAAAGCCTATCTATAGGTTTCCCATCACTGCTCCTCTATTTTCAAATTAAACTATTCTGTAAAGAGTCATATTAGTAAGTTAGTAGAGGGAAATTTTATATTGTATTTTGATATTTCCAACATTCTTGATTTACTTGACTAAATTCCTATTTCTGTGGTGCTGCTGTGGGTATAGGTGCACATATGTCACTGTGTTGTGATGTTTTCAGTTCCTCTGAAAAAACTTATGATCAAATACCCCTCCAGAAAGACCTGTATTTATAACATGTAATGATTTTTTTTTCAGTAGCATAGATTGAACTCAGGACCCTGCTCTTGCCGGAAGGGGCTTATTCTACTGAGGTATGTCCATGGCCCTCCATGTTTAATAATCAGTCCTGCAAATTTCAAAGACACAATCCAGGGCTGGGGAGGTAGCTCGGTAGAATAAGTGCTTGCCTGGGAAACAGAGGGTCCTGAATTCAATCCCTGGCACAAAAAAAAAAAAAAAGAACAACAGCAATAAAAAAAAAACAACCAAATACAAAAACTCAATCCAATTCTGGGCAGCCAAATGAATACACACACACATCAGATGAAAAATAAATGTCAAGTAAATATATGAAAAAATCTTCATGTTTGGTCATTTAAGAACTATGAATTAAAAGAATACTAAGATTCTAACTCACCCATGAATCAATTGCTACCATTAAGATGTCAACCAATAAAAAATGCTAGAAGAGATATAGGAGAAAAGGCGCAATTATCCACTGGTGGTAGGAGTGTAAATTGGCACTACTGTTGTGGAAATCAGTATAGAGATTCCTAAAAACCTAGGATTGGGGTCCTATGTAACGCACGTATCAGTCTCGTTGTTACTTTTCCCGGAGGAATTGAAGGCATCAGAGCACAGGGCTATGTGTGCACCCATGTTTATCACGGCACAATTTTCACAGGTAAAGCACGGAAGCAAACCACAACTACATCAACTGAGCAATGTGTGAAGAAGATGTGGCATTTATTTTTTTTAATTATTTTTATTTATTTTAAGAAAATAAATAAAAGAAAAATATAAAATAGCAGTGAAATAGTTTCAAAATGGATTGGTAGGAGGGTTACAATAATTACTGTATTGCATTTTTTATCTTCATACTAGTTAAACAAGATATCTTCTCTGCATCTCATTTTCAAAATGTGTTATTTTTAACTCAAAGTAGTTTTATTCAGCTACTTGGAAGACCAACGCAACAAATCTCTGGGATTAAATATCTCAAGCATTGCAAATGGTATGGAAAGCCATGATAGGGGCAGTTGTCATGTGCATATGAAGTGTATCTGGATGATTTATGCACTGGACAGCTTGAATCCTGATGCAGCAGTTACGGGAAGGGCCTAGGAAAGTGAGGGGACCATGAAAGTTGTAAAGATCAGAATACACTTTGTTGGCTAGGTCTGATGGTACCTTATTTGTGAGTGTAAGGACTCACTCAACACTAAATCTCAGAGTAAATTACAGGATTCCATTGAACTGGAGAAATCCTCCAGGCATATACAATGCTTTCCATTTCCATATTTTATGAGTAGCTGCTCCATGACTGTCATCAGGTGTTCCTTGAGAAAATAGCATTCATTTTCCAGATCACAGATGAAAGTGTGATCCTGCTGCTGCTGAGAATCCACCCTAGATATGAATAGAGAAACACTTTAAATACATGGAAATTAAATGACACCCTACTCAGCAACCAATGGGTCACAGATAAAATTAAACAAGAAATTCAACAATATCTACAATTCAATGAAAATTGAAGCACAACATATCGTAATTTACGGGATATGATGAAAGTAGTTCTCAGAGGGAAATTCATAGCTGTGAACTCACACATTAGGAAAACAGAACGGGAACAAATAACTGCCCAAATGCTGCACCTTCAACAACTAGAAAAGGAAGAGCAAACCAAACACAGAGCCCAAAGACAGGAGGACATCATAAAGATTAGAGAAGAAATTAATTCAACTGAGACAAAGAAAACAATTCAAAGAATTAAAAAAGCAAAAAGCTGGTTCCTTGAAAGATTAAATAAAATTGATAAGCCCCTAGCTAACCTCATCAAAAAGAGGAAAGAAAAATTCAAATACAAGCAATAAGGAATGAAAAGGGTGGAACTACCACAGACTCAGTAGAAATTCAGAAGATTATCAATAGCTAC